TTTTTTTTTTTTTTTTTTTGCGTGCATTACCAGACATGTTAAATGTAATTACCATAATAATGTAATAAATACATCCATATTACAAGTACTTCAGCTAAACAATTTAGCACTTTTGGCTCATCTCTAATATTCTGCTCCATTAACATTAATTTCATTGTGATGAATTTGTATAATATTTCATATTACATGATTTATAGACTTCATAATGACTATTCAATGTGATGGGCCTATTTTTTTATTCTAAGTTAAAGTTAATCTACTGATTCTATGAAACAGCCACTGTTTAAGTGTCAAAGTGATGAATTTATCTTTATTTTAAACGTCTTTAGTCCCCCTGAAAACGAGAACATCATCATGGTTCGATGCTGTAGCGAACCGATTATTTACATTGCACCCGGTCTAACTAGGGAGTACCAATATGGCGGCCGGTGGCTTCACTTCACCCCTCTGCTACCAACTGGAGATCAGATCAGATCAGTGGTCTTTTAGCACTCTAGTTTTGCACCTCTAACAATTTGACAAAATAGTGTGCAGGATTATTCTGGAACACAGCAGAATTAGAGCTGAACAATATGGCTTAAAAATCTATTCTGATTGATTTCTTTCCAAATTCAAAAATCTGAGTTTTTCTACTTTTAAGTGTACTTATAAAAATGACAAATGACATTCATTACTTTCAAAAACTAGCTTTTATTTTTCAATAATCTCCTTTAGAAGCCAATATTGATTCAAAGGGCAACAAAAGAAACACTGTGAAAACATTTTAAAAGCAATGTTTAACAGACAACAATAAAAATATAACTATATTATATAAAAATCATCTCTTCCAGGGAGTCAGCGTTAAAATATATCTATTAAATAGATATATTTAATCTATTAAATAGATATATTTTATTGCGTGTTGCAACTATTTTTTGATTAAAGTTATCAAAACGATTCATTATCCAAAGAGTATCATTACTCAAGTATCCAGATCCAATACAAATTTTTTTTTATCAATACTTCCTCTTTGCTTGTTAGTTTTTGATTTTTGGATTATTTTCATGTTAAAAAAAATGTAATTTCTATTCAGTTTATTTCTATAGCTCCAATTCACATCATGTCATCTCAGGTCACTTTCTAGTTCACCAGATCATCCAGTCAGATTGATTCAAAGTTTTCTATCTAAGGAAAACCAGCTGATTGCATCGACTCATTGACTCTTCAGCAATCCCTCACACTAAGCATGCTTGTAGCGACAGTGGAGAGGAAAAACTCCCTTTTAACAGGAAGAAAGCAAACCTACCATAAATAATAGTTTTTTTCATTT